AAAGATACTCGTTAGGGATGGCCATATCTGTTATCACTTGAGAAGTATACATATTCAAAATAGATGTGCACCTTGGTATTTTACTAAGTATAAGCAGAAAAAGACTCTCAACTTCCTTTCCTTTAAATGCTAACAAACCATGGCATGATCTTTAATTTTTCCTCCCTGCTACCAAACCTGTAATTCCATGAATATAAAATAAGAAATCAATGCTCAGTATAGGCATTTTTTTGTGACAGACACATTATAAACATAAACAGAAAAAAAATGACATCTGTTAAAAAATGAAGCTAACTGGAGCTGAAAATACATAACAAATATAAAGCCTATTCTAATTATTCGGTCTTTAAAAAATCTGAAATGGGATGCTGAAAAATGATATAAATATTTTCCCCTTCAACTTTCTAGAGAGTACATTCCATATAGGTGAGAATTTCCCTCTCTCTCTCTCTCTCTCTCTCTCTCTTCCCCACTGTATCTTGAGTATTAGGACACATAGTGAAATCCAGCTCCTTATGTCAGAATCATAAAATGGTTTTTCAAGATTCCCAGCCCCTTATGTATTCATACCTCCTCTCAATTGCATAAATGCTAACTTAGATACTGATGTAATGGGATTTTATAGCTGTAACTAATACCTAAAATCATTGACCTTATGATAGGAATATTATTATGATTAGCCTGACTTCATCACAGGAATCTTTAAAGACAGTTTTCTCTGATAATTGTGTTAGAAAGCACAAAAACAATCACTTATTAGTTAAAAGAAAGCAATAGGTATATTGTAAATATGACCCTGTGTAGCAGACAGCAGTGGACAGGAGCTGAGAGCAGCGCAGTCTACAATCAACAAAGCATCAGGGAACTTAGTCCTGCAACTACAGCAAGTGAATTCTGCCAACACAAAACACACTTGGGCAGTAACTAGAGCCTCAGGTATAGAGGCAGTGAAAACATTTCAGTCTGCTAAGACCCAGAACAGAGAGTTAAATAAAAACTCCTATGAGTTTATAAATGTGTGTTCTTTTATTCTGCTATATTAGTAATGATTTGTGACACAGCAATAAAAATACCATGTTATATCAGATATGTAATACATAATTATGGAATGAATAGATGCATGAATGATAGTTTAGTATGATGCATGGTAAAGTTAAGATATTTTTATAACAAGAACAGGTCATTAAACTACGTGGAAAAACAGATTAGTGACTGAAACTAATTTCCATTATAGGGCAGTGTCAGCATCCCGAGGAGACTGCTCCTTTCCTATCGGAGAAATGTGTTTCACAAGCTGCTAATTGTACCAAGTATTATCAATGCCAGATTCTAATGATATTATATGCAGGTGGATCCAAACAAACGATAGTTACCACATACAACATTCTTGTGGTTTTATGCCTAGGTTTTAACAGCTATACATATTGTATTCTTCATTTATAGTGATTTGATATCAGTATATTTTCAAATAAAAACAAAGTACTGAAGCAATAGAAAAGGTATGTATAAAGATATGTATATAGTAGTCTCTCAAAATTCACAATGATTGATTTCAAGATCCCTACAGATATTAAACTTCATGGATGATATAAAATGATGCAATGTTTGCATATATCCTATGTACATACTTCCATACACTTTAAATCATCTCTAGAATACTTATAATACTTTATGCATGATTTTTCTATATAAATATTTATTATACTTTATTGTGCAGGAAATAAGATGCATAACTTAGAAATATGGAAGGTTAACTGCATGTCTGTTTACATTTTATCTTCTAAGAAAGTAAGCTTATATTAAGTACTAGTAAGTACTAATATATTTGTACACAACACCACTCAATTCTATTTTGATTTGATGTATACATAACACACACACATTTTAGTCAAAGAGACAGATTATTTCATTTAGAATAGTTGGACTGTTATGTTTCTTTCTCTTTCTGAGACAAAGTCTTCCTTCATAGCCTCTTCCTACATTTCCCCAGCCTTGGAATTACAAGAAAGTGCCACTGTGCCTGGCTAACTTTTGGTCATAACAGTATTTATTTCTATGTCATTACTTTTCTAGAACAGGTTGAGTCTTTCACAAAGCTAAGCAACCAATAGTTCTAAATAGTTGTGACACCTATGCAGTACAATGACAAGCATGGCAGGATATCCCTAAGGGTGCAATAGTTATTGATTTTAGTGGACTAATTGGATTTATAGCCTGCTGAACAGGAGGTAAATCTTGCCTGGTACGAATAACAAAGCCAACTTTCCCGGGTTATTGACATCATGGATCCTAAAAAAAAACCTACTACCTCCGTTTTACTAAAGCATTATAATTCCTAACTGTATTCTAACACTCATCCGTACAGCCACAGATAAGCGAATGTCTGACACAGCATCAAAGAAGCTTCCCTTTGCAGCAGATGGAGACTTAAAGAAAATTACAACTGGTCAAAACGCAGACAACGTCTGATACTGTAGCTTCTGGCCCCAATGTCTACACTACAAGACAACTCCTGCACAAGGCTCAGAGAACAACATGGAAAGGGCACCGGAGAGAGAAAGATTATAAGAGACGTACGGTGAGAAAACCTATGCGATACTGTGCAGTGCCTTCTGGTGGATAATCCTTTTGCACACTGTATTAACATATATCGTTACAATTGGTTTAATAAACAAGCTGACCGACACAGGCCAATAGCTGAACAGGATAAAGCTAGGCGGGAACGCCAAACAGAATGATGGGATGAGGAAGGGAGGAGTCAGAGGAATCGAAAGCCGGCCAGAGTCAGAGTCGCCAGCCAAGTTGGAGGATCAGTCGATCAGTCCGCCGTGCAGGATAAGGAAAGAGGTAAACACCAGCTGCCGTGGGGCTGCACATAAATTGATAGAAATTGGTTAGTTAGTAACAAGCCTGAGCTATTGATTGAACATTTATAATTTATATTAAGCCTCTGAGTGATTATTTGGGAGCTGGAGGACGGGGGATGGAAAATCTCCAACAAACATGGCGCCTAATGTTCAGAACATTTACACGGAGCCTGCAAAACCTTAAAAAGGGGTTCTAAAACCACAAAGGAAATGCAAGTGGTTTCTTGGTAACTGTCTTTCCTTAGGGAGACTGTTTGTTTGTGGCAAATAGAGGCGTGGCTCCATTGAAACTCAGCTTCTGTTTTCCTGTTTCTTTCTGTTTTTCCGAGTTAGGGCTTCTCTATGTTACAGCCCTGGAATTTGCTCTGTGGACCAGGCTGACCTCAAACTCACAGAGATATGCCTGCCTCTGCTTTCCGAGTTGGGATTAAAGGCATAAAGACGCAGTCTCTTTAAGATTCGGCTTAAGACACAGCCTCTAAGACTTGGCTTAAGACACTGCCTCTTTCAAACAAGGCATGTTTAACTGCTGCCTTTTGAAGAGGAGGTATCAATTATCCGTGGCCTCCTTAAGGTGTGGGGTCTTTATCCGTGTCCTCTTTAAGGCGTGGCATCTTTATCCACGCATATTTTTTAAGATCGGCATCTTTATCTGCGGCCTCTTTAAGACTCGGCTTCCATGTGGTCTCTTTAAGACACGGCATACTTTTCCTGCGGCAAATTTATCCAAGGCATCTTTTTTTAAAGAAATTTTATTGATTTTTATTGAGCTCTGCTCCCTCCCTGCCTCTCTCCTCCCCTTCAACCCTCTCCCAAGGTCCCCATGCTCCCAATTTACTCAGGAGATCTTGTCTTTTTCTACTTCCCATATAGATTAGATCCATGTTTGTCTCTCTTAGTGTCCTCATTGTTGTCTAGATTCTCTGGGATTGTGATTTGTACACTGATTTTCTTTGCTTTATGTTTAAAAACCACTTATGAGTGAGTACATGTGATAATTGTCTTTCTGGGTCTGGGTTACCTCACTTAATACTATGTTTTCTAGATCCATGCATTTGTCCATGGCCTCTTTTTAAAGAGAAGGATTATCCGTGGATTCTGCGGCAAATTTATCCGCGGCCTCTTTAAGACGCGGCAAATTTATCCGCGGCCTCTTTAAGATGCGGCAAATTTATCCACGGCCTCTTTTTGAAGAGGAGGAATCTTTTATCCATGGTCTCTAAAAGATGGGCCATGTTCATCTGGAAGCCTCTTTTGAAGAGGAGGCATCTTTCATCCGTGGCCTCTTTAAGTTGCAGTGAATTTAACCACGGCATTTTTTAACCGCAGCATCTCAGTGCGGCTTTTAGATGGCTCTTTTTTTTTTTTTTATTCCCCCCCCTAGATGGCTCTTTTTGAGGTCCTACTATGGAACACTTAAACGGGATTTATGAGCAGCAGTCAAGACATTACTTGGTGACAGTATCAACGCCATAATTGGGGCAATAAATGTGGCTCCCCATTGCTTCTTCCACCATGCAGCTCAGCCTGCACGGACCAAGGAGTGGGCGCAGCCAGCTGCAAAAGCCACTGCTTTGGGCCTAGCCACCTCTGCTTAGCTTAGCAATTTAAGACTCACGTGGTTATAAAAAGAGAGATATGCAGTAAAGACAGATGCAGATTAAAAAAGTCTTTTTTGTCACCAGTCTTTCTCTGTCTCCCCAGCCAGATCACCAACAATGAGAGTGATACTTTTTTCTTTTTTGGATTTTCGAGACAGGGTTTCTCCGTAGCTTTTGGTTTCTGTCCTGGAATTAGCTCTTGTAGACCAGGCTGATCTTGAACTCACAGAGATCCGCCTGCCTCTGCCTCCCGAGTGCTGGGATTAAAGGCATGCGCCACCACCACCCGGCTTGAGAGTGATACTTTTAACAATTATGAAAACTGTTTTTAAACTGCCATGTCAGCTGCCATGTGACTCAGCTTAGTGAGATACTGTACAACGAAGAAGGCATGTCTGTTTCAGTGTATGTGGAAATGTGTGCCCCCACATTGACATCATTTATTTGATCCCAGTGTATAGTTGTTTTATAGTATTAAAACGATACTCACCATGAATTCAGGGGGGTTGGAAGTCAGAAGGTTGCACAGAGTTGCTCGGGTAGAACAAACATAATCACCTGAATTAGATAAGGAGCTGAATGACATCCATGAATGTTAAAGCAGAGGTGGGTTTTTGAAGGTGCTTCAGGCCCTGTGTAAGCCATTGCTCACGTACACAAAGAACGCCTGTGGCAGGAGCAGAGCTAGTGGTTGGGAACTGGAATCCCACCTACCCTGACACTCTCTGCTCTTTGCTGAAGCCATTCACTCCCTTTTACTTTTGCTTCTACCTTAATACCTTGACAAGAATCCAAGACACAGAAAAGAAACTGTGTACTTCTTGGTCAGAGGGAAATAACTGGCAAAAAAGAAACAACTTAGAAATAATGAAGATGAAAAGTTTCTGATCATGAAAAAAAATCTGCAAAAGACAAAAAATAGGGCATAAATATAAATGTTAGTAGACATAATTTTTATCCTTTACTCTTTTAAAACAGTATTTTTATATTTAAAGTTTTTATTATATATTTTATATTATATATTTTATTATATTTATTTTGTATTTAAAGGCTTTATTATAAATAAGTTGGATGTTCTAGAGGGCTCTTAATTTCTTTGAAGGTTGCTTTACTGCATCAGAGATCAAATTATTCTTTTAATTTTTCCATAACATTTAGGTTTTATAAATCTTTATTCTTTTAATTTTTCCATGATATTTAGGTTTTATAAATCGTTCTAAATCAGTAAGATTCATAAAGTAATCTCTGAATGAGAATGATCCCCATTAGCTCATATGTTTGAATCCTTGGTCCCCAGTTGGTGGCACTGTTGGTGGCACCCAGTTGGGTGGAGTGGCCTTGCTAGGGGAAGTGTGGCACTAGGGGAAAGCAAGGACTTTACAAACGGTCCGATTCCACTCCCAGTGAGTATTCTGTCTTCTCCTTTCAGCTCCCAGATGTTTCGGCTGCCACACCTTTGCTCAGACATTATGACCTCTAAGTTTCTAAAACTGTAAGTCAAATTAAATTCTTTCTTTTATGAGCTGTCTTGGTCATGATATTTTCTCATAGCAATAGAAAAATAACTAACACAAAAGTTGGTATCAGGAAGAGGGCTATTGCTGTGATCTGACTGTGTGGGGTGGTCCTTTGGAGGGATGTGGAAGACTTTGAGGCTTTAATAAGAAATGTATTTGGACGATGTGAGTGGGGCTTAGTGGGCCATCCTAGTAGGATCTTGAAAGATAGTAGCGGCTGGCAGCAATGTGTTCTGTGGATGTGGAGATCAAGAGTTTTTAGAAGGCAACAATGTCGTGACTGAGCTGCAGACCAATGCTGTGGTAACCAGGCCCCGTATCCTAAGGATTTGTCACAGGCTAAATTGAAAAGCAGTATACTAATTTCTTTGGTAGAAGAATATCCTCCTGACCCACCAATGAACAGTGCTGAGGAATGGAAGTTGAATTTGAGATTCAGCAGAACCATAGGACTCCAGGTGAACTGCTCAAGAGCTCTTTACCGGGCTTCTCTGAAACTTTTATTCCAAGATAGCTAAAGTTTCAAAGCAGGGACAGGAAAGCAGTGATAGACATACAGAATAATTCTCATTACTTTCATCACATGTGCTCAGGGTACAAAAAGTCTCATCCTTCCCAATTCCGGTAATGCATATTGTGTCATTGCATGTTGGAAGTATGTAATCTGCTTTTGACTTTTCCGGGGGTTACCGTTAAGATGTCTCAGGAGAGACTCTGGACCTTTAAACAGTGTTGAGACCGAAGGGCTTATGGGGACTTTTGATGTTGGAATAAAGGTATTTGCATCATTATATGTCTTCAATCCTATGGGAGCCAGAGACTGGAATGTGGTGGTTTGAATAAGAATAGGCACAAATACTTGAATGCTTGTTTTCTAGCTGGTGGAACTATTTGGGAAGGAGTAGGAGCACTGTGTCACTGGAGCCTGGCTGTGAGGTTTCAAAAGACTCCTGACATTCTCAGTGTTGCCCCCTCTGCCTCCTACTTGCAGTTTAAGATGTGAGCTCTCAGCCAGCTCTGCCACCATTTGTTGTCCCAACATCATGGACTCTAATTCTAAAACAAAGCCTGGTTAAATGCTTTCTTTGATAAATTGCCTTGGTCACAGTATTTTTTCATAGCGATAGAAAAGTAACATTGTTGGGTCCCTAGAGGACAGGCCTTCGCACCCCCACTTGATCTGTTTTGCACTCTTGAGTCAAGGGCCACTGTTCCACCCAAACTGGATCATCAGATTTCCAAGTTATAGGAATTGGGGCAGGCATGGGAACAGTGACCCTAACTAAAAATGGCCTAGACCACTTCGGTCTCCCAGCATTCTGGTAATTTGTTTATCTGGTGTCACTGGCTGCAACTGGCCCTACAGATTTTTTCCCAGCCCCTGTCCTGGTCTCCATCCCAGTTGCTGCATAATTTGGGACGCTGGTGGTGGTGGTGTGGGCTGAGTGGTCAAGACAGCTCCCATCTCACTCAGGATATCTCTTCCCCAGAGATTAACAGGTAGTCCTGGGAGGACATATGGATGAAAGTAACCCTTATGGCTTTCATTATCCTGCCATTTTAATATTTTTGCACTCTTCTTGAGACTTGCTTGACCTATTCCTTGTAGGGTGGCAGTACTTCTTTCTAATGGCCACTTCTTAGGCCAGAATTCTAAGGACAGGACGGAGACAGCAGCCCCAGAATCTAAAATCCCATTAAATGACTTCTCATCAATAGTCAATTCCAATCGTGGCCTTTCTTTCATATGAGCTACCCAAAAGGCTGCAGTGCCAGATGACCCAAAACCCTTAGCACCCCGACTGGACCTGGCCGCGGGGTTGGAGGTGTTAACTAAGGGTACCAAGACCAATTGGGCAATATGATCCCCCTGAGGAATTATTGTAACTCCTTGAGAAACTGATGTCATAATTTTTATTTCTCCTTGATAATCTGTATCAACAACCCCAAGATGAATTTGAATTCCCCTCAAGATGGTACTGCTTCTTCCCAAGATAAGCCCCAAGGTCCCTCTAGGGAGTGGCCCAAAAACATTAGTGGGTAAAGCTTGAACCCCCATTTGGGCTGTCAAGACTGCTCAGGCAGAGGTACTGAGGTCCAGTCCTGCACTTCCTGGCGTGGCTCGGGCAAGGTCTGCAACACAAAAGGATTGCCCTGTGGAACAAACTGGATATGGCCACTGCCGGGGTGGGACCCCCTGAGTCCTGGTGTCATTGCTCCATACGCTGAGGTTCTGGGGCCCTGGAGCGGGGCCCTCCACCAGTTACCCTGCTGTTGGCCTTGGACAGGCAGAAGTCTTTCATCTATATCTGTCTTAGATCTACAATCATTTGCCCAATGGGCCCCCCTTTTACATCGTGGGCACTTTCCTTGTCTGGCAGCATTTCCCCGAGTGAGTTGTGGACATTCCTTTTTAAAATGTCCAAGGGCACTACAGTTAAAGCAGGTTTTATCCCCAGTTGTTTGGGATCCTAGCCCTGGCCTGATGTCAGCGGCAATCACCTGGCCCTGAATGAAGTGCCCGTCAATATCCCGGCAGATCCAAATGTATTTGTTTAAGCTTCTTGTCTTATGTGGCTGCAAGGCTTTCTTACAGTATTTATTGGAATTTTCAAATGCCAGCTGCTTAACTATGGGCATAGCTGTGGTCACATCACCAAACAATTTCCCTGCCAACTGTAATATCCCATCCACATAGTCCTGAAATGGTTCTGAAGGCCCTTGTAAAACTTTTGACAGCTGATCCCCCGTGGCCTTGTTTGGTAGGGCTTTCCAAGCTTTGGTGGCCGCAGTTGCCATCTGGAGATATACGGCAGGATCGAGAACAATTTGATTGGCCAAGTCAGCATAAGCTCCTGCTCCAATTAGCATGTCTAGATTGCACTGTGCCTGTCCCGCTTGCGCATTTAACCTAGCCGTTTGTAAGCAATTTTCTTGATATTCTCCCCTCCACAATAAGTAATCTCCTCCCAGTAATACTGCATGGCATAGCTGCTGCCAATAGCTAGGTGTAAGATTCAATGCCGCAAAAGACTCTACCATGGCAAGAGTAAACGTGGCCTGAGAGCCGTGTACTGCCATGGCCTCTTTCAATTGCTTCATCTCCTTAAAGCTCAAGGCCACATGTTGTCTCAGCATCTGTCCTGGATTGTTAGGATCAGGTACCTCTATAACCGGAGCAACTATGTGCCAGGGCCGAAAACAGACACCTCCTCTTCTTCCTGAGCCCTCTTCAGCCTCCCTGTCATCTATCAGTCCCCCCCTCCTTCCCCAATCCTCATTAAAAGCAGGTGGGGCTGACAGCACACATAAGGAATCCTTTGCCTTACAGCGCTTCAGCCTTTTCCGAAGTTCCTTAATTTCCTGCATTAGCTGTGCTTCCTCATCAGATAAACTATTCTCTGCACTAGTGCTGAGGCTGCCTTCCCCATTTTCTGACTCGGAGGTTATTTGCAGACTTTGGCACTAGCCTTAGTCCTGCACCGGATTCCAAAGTTCCCCCTGGTACCTCTGATATTTCCTTTTGGTCCCTATGTGACTCTGCCGATCCCATAGCCTGTGCCCCTTCAACATTATAGTTTCAAGACATGCTCCTAATTAGAAAATGTGCTCTGAGAAATCATAATGGATGTCAACAAATGCAGTGGGGGATATCAGGGTTAGTGGTAATAATGGCTTCTTCAGTGGAATCTTTTGCCATTAGACAAATATACACACCATTTGGGATAGCCGAGAATGTGCGTAGACACAAACCCCCTTTGGAATTACTAAAGATAGTTATAAGTAATTTATTACTTCTCACTTAGCTGTCCCATCAACATATTTTCACATATTTGTATAAACACATTCAGGTTCTCTGCTATGCTCAATGACTGAGTCAGGATTACCTTTTTTTTTTTTAATCTACTTGATATATGGAAGATACAGAAATAGTTAGGAGTGTATTATATTAATATCTGAGTTAATAATGAAATGAGAACAAATATATTGTAAACTTTCTTTACCTCCTCATGAATGCCTTTTCCTAGGTTTTTATTATTTATCATTAAATACATTTACTAATACTAAATGACCCAAACAATTTTTGTAAAATCACAGATATAATCAATTATTTTACCGAATGTAAAAACTGTTCTGCCATCCAGGACCTTTAATACTCTGTGAATTTAATTAAGACTGTTTACTTCCCTTTGTTACCTGATGTTAGTACACAAGTCCATACCTAACACCAGTTCCTGCAGAATGTTTGTCAGTTCCCTCTCCAAACAAATACTTTAGTGTTTAAGTAAAAATTGTTCTTCAATTTTTGACTCATGAAGCTTCAAGAACTTTAGGGACTTAACAAGAAAAAGAAGCCATAGAAGCACAACATGAAACAGGAAGTAGCAGGGAAAATATGAGCGAGGTAGAAAAGGAAAAAAGGCCAAAGGCGAAACTAAAGGAAGTAGGAACATTAAATAATTTTGGGCAAACTAAAAGGTCACAAGACATAGAAGACATTAGAGATTTAAAAAGAGTAGGGGCTGGAAAGATGGCTCAACAGTTGAAGGCATTGACTGCTCTTCTAGGGGACCTGGGTTCAGTTCCCAGCACCCATATGGTAGATAGCAACCACCTGCAACTCCAGGGTCTGAAGTGCTTTTCTGACCTCCATGGGAAAGACACAATGTCTTCTTCTAGACTCTGCAGATAACACGTGCACTTGGTACACAGTCATGCATGCAGGCAAAAAAAAAAAAAAAGGAAACCACTCATGCATATAAACTGAAATATTCTAAAAGTGAGTTGCCTGGCACTGCAAATAGGAATAAATATATATTATACATTACTCTCTCACACACAAACACACAATTTACAAATAGATATACTAGTTACTGACTGCTAGTATGAATTAATTTCCAAAGAGGTATGGTGATGTTTATTTATGCTTTTAAAGAATGAAGCTCTGTTAAAAGCTGTGAGCATATCCAGAACTGAGCTAGGGGAAAAAGTAGACAATGGGTTGTTTCTACAGCAAAGTTTTCTAGTTACATATATGTAAAAATAACTGGGAAAGATATGGAAGTGTGTAAGAGGAAGCAGACTGTATTAAATATTGATACGTGAGTGCTAAAGATTTTTCAGAAAAGGAGGAGGTAGGTTTGTGATTAGAGTAGAGAGCCAGACCTGGATTTTTAGGAAGGTGCCATTTGAACATATACCAAGGAAGACGGTAAGGAGAGCTGGTCACAGATAACCCAAACCAGTTCACAGCCTAACTTCTATCTCTGAGGGTGGTGATAAGGTTTAGAGTTGGAGAAGTAGAATTTATGTACCACAGGTTTTTAACCTCTGGCTTTGAAGATAGTTGGTTTGTATTTGTGCTTCAGGCATTCAGTAGGCATAGGTGGGATTTTAGTTTATATTTAAAAGAAAATCTGTTCTAAGGAGCCCACTGTAAGAAGCAGTATTTCATTATTATTTCAATGATCATGGGTCTGATTCATTTTTTTCTCATTTGCAAACCAGTACCCACATCTTACCTATCCATCTAACCTTAGCAAACCAGTACCCACATCTTACCTATCCATCTAATGAATGACAAAGTGCCGCCTTAATAAGCATGTTGCAGTATAGATAGAAGTTCTCAAATTTAAGGGTGTTAATAGTCACTGGAAGGACTCATTTAAACACAAATGGTGCATTTTCCAATTCAGAAAGGCTAAGATGAAAGTTTCTTACAAGTTATTATTGGTCAGAGTTCAACCTCAACCGTTCCCTTAACCAGCTTACCTTCACCTCCTCAGCTGACACACTGCAGAAGTGGCACACACCACTGTTTGTGTTGGATTGTTGCTAAAGACAGCATATACCGGAATACGCAGCCTGATGGTGGGGGTGTCCTGCACGTACATTGTCATTTCCTTTAATGGTACCCTCACCCCCTTTTCTCTGGTACCTCAACCTCTTGCCATCTTCAACAGGTTGCTTTGGTCAAACTTTCCAGAGAAAATATGATCAGTATTCAGCGGCATTCAACCTGGCATTCTCGAAAAGGTAGTACAGTCCATGAATCCTGAAGGACAAATTCCTAAAACAGATAATTTCAAATAATCAGAATGGCCTCTTTCTATGAATTTCTATGAACTATCTGCTCTCTATATCATCTAACTATATATTCGTGTGTGGCACACACCTTATATAAAAACATTTAGAAATTGCACCTGCACTGAATATGTACTATTTTTGCTCTTATTCCTCAACAATAATTACATAAAGGAATTTAGGTCATATTAAGTATTGAAAATTACCTATCAGTGATTTAACATATGGGAAAATATGCACAAATTATCTAAGATACTAAGTCATGTTCTGGAATTCACCAGAGCTCTGGAAGTTATCCCCATGGAACGCCAAAAGATAATACCTTGTGAGTTGTGTATGAATTTATATACACACGTACATAAACAAAACCTTTCCTTTGGCTACATTAAAGGTGACATCGATCTGTGTTTGGTACTTTTGGAAAGTTCAGACTTTGATATGCCTTGCAGAATCTTGCATCCAAACTAGGACAAATTACATTTATGATTTGTTTTCTGTGGCACTTTTTTCCGCCCACACTTCTTTCCTATCTATTGTGCAAACGTGTGAGAGAGACGGCCCGTAAAGGGAACTTAAGTATACAGTGGTAGCAGTCTGGCTCTGTTTCAACCTTCACAGTTTCCTCTGGCTCCTTTCACCATTTTTTTTCTTGACTCCCAGATTCTAGGTTTGAATTATTTATATCATGCAACGAAAAGGAATAAGCTAGGACTCCTTTGACCTTCGTTGCCGATTGCACCGGTGGCTGAGACCATTTTTCTAAAAAGTTAGAAAGTAGGGAATGGACTTCCTGGCATCATCCTTTCCTTCCCTCTGTCTCCTCGTCCCTCCAGTCCCTCGGGCCTGGAGAGTCTCACCCCATTAACAAACAAAGCCGGGCGAGGTAAGCTCTCCCGGAGCCCCTTGGCGTAGAGGGACCGCGCCACGCGTCGCTCGCGGCTGGGTTGGCGAGCGTGCCACGCCTCCGAGCGCGCGCCCGCCGCTTCCTGCCCGGCTGCTTTTCCCTCGCCGCCCTCCAGCCGCGCGCCCGGAAGGCGCCTGCGCAGAGGCCTCGGGCTCCTGCTCCCCTCCCTTCCTCCCCGGCCCGCCCTCCTTTCTCTCTCTCACTCGGGTTTCGCTCCCGAGAGCGGCCCGGAGGCAGCCGTCGAGCCGTGTTCTGCGCGCCCGCCCCCTTCCTCCGCCCCTCCCAGCGCTCGGGTCTCCAGCCGGCGGAGATGAGGCTGCGGCGGCCGCGGCTCCGGCAGCCCCGGCGGTGGCTGCGGTGGGGGCGGCCGGAACCCGGGCCTTGAGGCGCGGCGGCGGCGGAGGAGGCAGCGCTGCCCCGGCCGCTGCACGGGCTCCCCTTCCTCTTTAGCGCAGTCAGGAAGTTTGGCGCCCTGTGCAGTGCATGTGTGCGCGTGAGTGTGGGTGTGCGCGGCCAGCTCGGGTAGCGTTTCTTCAGGCGCTGGGCTTTTTTGCCCGCGTCACTTCCCGTAAGCCAGCCGCCGCGGAGCTTGGGCTGTGGCCGGAGGAGGGGGCGCGGCGGCGGGCGCTCTCCTTTTGTTGTTGTTTCCTCTGCTTGGAAAGCTGCAAGGGGACGCGCCTGGGTGGGGCGGCTCGCAGCCCGGGCCTGGTGGCCCCCGGGGCTCCCGGGCGGCCGGGGTAGCTAGAGGAGAGCGGGCTTCAACATGATGGCGGCTGAGGCCGGCAGTGAGGAAGGCGGCCCGGCCACCGCGGGGGCCGGAGGAGGCGCGGCCGCGGGCTCCAGTGCCTACCCGGCGGCATGCCGGGTGAAGTTACCCGCGGTCCTGCCGGTGGCCGCCGCCCCCTGCCCAGGCCTGGTGGACACCGACCTGGCTGCGGCCCTGGGCGGTGGAGCCGCGTTGGGGTCCGGGTTCCTTGGGACGGGGCCAGTGGCGGGTGTCCTGGGGGGCGCCGCGCTGCCCGGCGGTGCTGCTGCTGGCGTGGTGGGTGCTGCTGCTGGCGTGGTGGGGGCAGCAGCCGGTCCTGCCGGAGATGTTGCTTTCACCAAGGGGACTCTGTCGTTGGCTGCTGAGACCCTCGGGCCGGGTGGCGGGTTCCCTCCTCTGCCGCCGCCTCCTCTGCTGCCCCCTTTGGGCTCCGGCCTGGGGACGGTGGATGAAGGTGACTCCCTGGATGGACCAGAATATGAGGAGGAAGAGGTGGCCATACCGCTGACCGCACCTCCAACTAACCAGTAAGTCAGAAATGCTGTTGAGGAATTGTGAAAGCTGGCTCCATGAAAGAGATGGGCAAGAAGGAACAAAACATACCATGCTCCTGCGGGTGTAATTTGTTTAAAAAGTTTTGAAGTTTCAGGTTCCATATATAGGGATTTAATTTGATCAGTCATCTTCCCTACAGGCACTGTCCCAGGCCTCCTCGTGTATTTATTGCTCTTCTGGGACGACGTAAACTTTTAAGATGGGAAGCTGGGGAAACTGTATCCAGTGAGAACCGGATATGGTTCGGCCCCTTCCTAATTGAGATAGTGGCCGGTCTTCAGCAGATCTTGGCACTATAAAGGCAGCCACCGTCCATGCTAACTCCCATGCTCCTTGCTCAAGCTAGATTTTAGTGGGAACCGTGTTTAAATTGTATTGCATAAATGGAAGCTGGAAATTCAGTAGTCAGAATGCTTTGATTTTGCTGCAGTTGCAAGTCCCTATTTACCGTCTACTGGGAGCGATATGATTCAGAAAAAAAGACTAGATCCCTTTGGAAAGCTGCAGAGTATGGAAAGAAGTTCTGTGAATTACAGGTGCAATTAAGGGTGCACATACTGAACACTAACTGGTTCCTTCAGATTATTTGTTAGCATTCGTGTAATACTTCTGTACTGAGACAGTATAAAAATGTTAAAATAAAACAAATTAATACTGCTCTCAGCACGTTGGTAGTGGTTGATACGGTATTGTTTGGAAATTAATTTTAATAGTTTATTGTGACATAATCAGGACATGTGGCTTTCCCCTTTAAGTTAGACTTGTCTCCTTAATGTGTTCTTTTCATAAGTGAAATGGGTATGCATTTGTAAATGTAGGTTGATCTCGATGAGAAGGTGTTGAAATGCCAAGTGGCAATAATTGGCAAAACGTGTTATAGAGCCTTCGAGTCTGTCATAATTGGCCTTTAGAATTTCAACAACATTGGTGAATATTAGGAAAAAAGATTTGGTTCATATACTGACACTTTCTGAACACTTCAGAAGTTTTCTTTGGGAGGGTCAACTTCTTAAGAGGCTTAAGAAATATCTTTAAAAGAATCAGGGAAACATTTTGTAAATGCTAATCCACTTTTGATTTAAGCTACATTTTCTGCTCTTTTAATGGGTGTTGTGATTGGGAAATGAAAGAATGCTTGGTGTTTGTTGTGTCTGCAAACTTCCCACCTATGGTGAAATTCAGCACGAAGTGTAAGCTCTCTTTCTAATTTCATTCTAATTTGTGTCTTTGTATTTGCAGTCTGTCCCAGGAATGTTCTGAAAGTGTTAGAAAATTTGCACCATTGTGTGTATAATATACCTTTTTGCCAAATTAATTATGTTTTTATAATAATAAAATACAGTTTTTAATACTGAAAGAATGTGGTTCTGCACCATTTTTGTAATTGAATTAATTTAGGCATATTTAGAATCTTTTTGATTTTTTTGGAGACACAGTTTCTCTGTGCAACAGCACTAGCTGTCCAGAACTAGCTCTTTAGACCAAGCTACACTGGAACTCAGAGATCTGCCTGCCTCTGCCTCACTCTATTTAAAAGGCATTTGAAGCTTTAGCTATTTTTATTTTATGAGTGTTTGCCTACATGTATGTATGTGCATAGTGACAATATCCAGTGACCAAGGCCAGAAGAGGGAGGGCATGAGAGTCCCTGGAACTGGAGTTACAGATGGTTGCTGCTCTGGGTGGCGGGAACCGAACACTGCTCCTCTGCAGGAACAGCAAGTGCTTTGAGGTGCTGAGCCATCTCTCCTGTCCCAGTATATTATTCTTAAATTATTTCCAGTGGATTCATTTATTTTATTTTGTTCTTTAAGACAGGCTGTCTTCCTAGCGTAGGATGGTTTGGAACTCACCACGTTGTCCAAGCTACCCTTGATTTGTGGTGATCTATCCCTCTAGGCTTTTAAAGAGGAATTTAAACTTGAGAGCAAAGTTGAATGGAAAAATACAAATTCTCACACTAAATTTTTAAGACCAAGTGTGATTATTTGAGGGAAAATTTTGTTTGTGGAAAATCTATTAGTGATTTTCATTATTTTAAAATATATTTAGAAAGAAACATAAAATTTGACCAAGTTGTTCATATTCTAAAAAGTCTTCTATACTTCTCATATTTTTGCATATATATCTTTGTTATTTTTGGGATTGTAATTTAATTACAAATAACATTAATTTCTCCCTCCCCATTCCTCCCTCCAAACCCTCCCATATATCTCCCTGACAGCCTTCAAATTTATAGTCTCTTTTCATTATTACTGCATGCATATAGATACTTGTATGTACATATATATTTCTTGATATAACCTGTTGAGTCATATTTAACTTTCATAATTTTTTTGGTGCTGGGAATCAAACTCAGAGCTTTCCAGTTGTTAGATAAGTTTTCTACTGCCATGCTGTCTGTCTCCCTCTGCAGATTTTCTAGTATGGTTTTAAAATTTACCACTGATACACAAATTCACTCCTTTCTTTTTAAAATAAGATTTATTCTTAATGTCACAGTCTGAAGTGGGTTGTAGGGAAGCTCAACTCCATGCGGTGTTCAGGGGACTCAGTTTTCTCTGTCTAGTGCAGTGGTTCTCTTGGAGTCAAGCCACCCTTTCATGGGATGATTCTTAACAGTATCAAAGTTACAGCTAGGAAGTTGCAACAAAAATTTTAGGTTGGGGGTCACCACAACAAAAGGAATTGTTTTAAAGGGTTGCATTGTTAGGAAGATTGAGAACCACTGTACTAATGGTTCCATCATCTTCTTTTCTATTTGATGTGTGTGTATGTATGTGTGAGTGTGGTACACACATGTGATGATGTTTGCTCACGTATGTGTGAATGTTCATGCCTGTGTGTATGGCACAAAAAAAAAAAGACTGTCAGGTGTTCTCTTGTCACTTTTCATCTCGTTCCTTTGAAGCCGGGTCTCCCTAAACCTTGAGATCTGATTCATTTTGGCTAGGCCAGCAGCCAGCATATATTGTATTCCAATAAATAAATAATTCTGCCAAATAACTATAATTTTCTTATCATAAAAGAAAATTCTTACTAATTCTTTTGGTATAGGGATACCCTTATTGGTAGCAGGTGATTAATGTTTTGCTGTTTTTGTTTTTGTTTTTGTTTTTTTAAATCAAAGATCTCAAAATGTTGCCCAAGATGAGGTTGAATTTTTCGTCTCAAGTGATCATTCTGTTTGAGGATCCTGAGTAGCTGGTATTATAGGGATGGCCATGTCACTGGTTCAGAAAACTATTTTACTTAATTTTTTATTTATTTACTTATTTGAGACAAACTCTTACAATGTGCCGCAGCTTGGTCTTTAGAACTCTGTCTTGAATATTGGGATAATAGGTGTGCTGTCTTTTGAGCTCAAGTGCTGCTTTAGGACAGGGCTTAAACTTTTTCCACTCCTGACTCTTTTTGCCCATTTTTGTTACAAAGGTGTCAAACACACAAGCATATAAATCAAACAGTTACTGATAATGACTCATAAAGAAAATGTATTTTCAACAGTTTTTCTATTATATAATTTATTAAAGACAAATTGCAAATTAAAATAGATATTTTTATCTAAGGAATTAAGTCTTGACTGAATATTTGATACTGGTTTATAGTTGTCAATGGTGAGAATGTTTTTCGTGGGAGAGTCAAGATAGGAAAAAAGGCAAATGCAAGTTGCATCCATAAGAATAAAATGATAAATTGCCTTTCAGCTAGAAACAGTTTTTAGTTACTGTTGTCTGATGTGATACTGCACATCACTGCAGGTTATGGTGTGGTGTTTGAGTGTGTAGATACTTGCAGGTGTAGTGCCGTGGAATCACGTGCAGTGTGTTTTGTTTCAGAGGAAGTTAAAAATAGTTGTTAGAACAGCTTAATGATTATCTTTTTTTAAAATGTCTTCACACTTTCAGCAGGATTTGAGGCATTTAGGTGATTGTATTTCTTTTTAATGAGTTAATAAAAGAACACGGGGGAAATAGATGAGGTATTGTTGAGGGAAATAAGATAAAAATTATTCTATAGAGATGTGTAGGTAACCTTTCCAGATTAATAGTATAGTTGTTTGAGGAATTAAAATATTGAAAGTAAATGGAAGAATGACATTGAAATTTCTTAACATAATCTGGTTGGAAAGTTTGATGCTTACTTTGTAGTGTTGATGGTTACTATTGTATTCATGATACAATAATCATTAATGACAGAGGGAACCCTGTCAGGTATAGAAACAAAATTCTGAGTAGCATCTTAGGTTCACATAACTACGTAACGGTAGATCTGAGATGGAATCCTGTCTCATAAATTTTCAGATTTATTTATATGCAAAAGATTTTTAAACTGTTGGCTTTATTTTGTTTTTGAGGGGTAGCAAGACAAAGTCTTAGTACCCCAGATTTACTAATCATTTGCTCATGCATGTGCACGCACACATACGCACACCCCTCCACTCCCCACATACATATATACACGCACACATATACACACAAGCCATTCATTCCTTCCACGTTTCTTGCTATGTAGCTCAGCTTCCTTGGCCTAGAACTCATTATTTTTCTTGCTTCTCCTGAGTGCTGGGATTCATTGTGTGCACTGTCATGCCCAGCTTACAGATTTTGTTACTTATTTTTTATAACTATACAATGAAAGTTGATGCCACACTAATATGTATAATTGGGAAAAATTGAGTGATGGAGAAAATACAGATTATTTTTTATCCAAAATACGTGGGGCAAGTATTTGAAATTTCAGTTTGTTAAATTCTGGAATATATGTGTACATTTTATCAATCCAGCTGGATATGCTGACTTTGAATCCACTTAAAAATTTGGTATTTAGATTAGGAATACTCAATCTGTACTTTGTAATAGAACTTTTTCATCAGAACTGCTGATTCTCCAATAATGACACAGACTTATTATTTATGAAAACTTGGCCGATAGCTTAGGCTTGTTTCTAACTAGTTCTTATAACATAAATT